GCTGAGTGGCGCGGGCTGGTGGAACACTTTGACTTTGTTACTTTTTTTCTCTGTGTGAACTGTACATAAGATTAACATTATTACAGTGTCCGATCCAGGGCTACAGTGTTGTGTAACCATAATTTCTATCTAGTGCCTTGACATTTTCATTGACCCTCCCCGCAAAAAATAAAAAACCTAACTCACTGCCCTCAGTCGGACCTGACTCCTAGCGACCACTCCTTGGATTTTCAAGGCAGTATCTCTATGGAAGTGGATTGCCCAACCTTCCTCCTGAGGAGTGGCTGGTGGGTGTGAACCGCCAGCCTTCTGGTTAGCAGTCAAGTGCCTTAGGCACAGGCGACGCCATTTCCTCTGCCCCAGCACCTGGTGTCTGTCTCTGGATTTAACAATGCTGGACGTTTCCCATAAATGGGGTCAGACAGTGTGCGGCCTGGGTGTCTGGCTTTGTTCACTCAGCGTGTTTTCAAGATTCACCCGTACACAGTGTAGTGACCCAGATACACTGCCTCTTTCCTTTCTAAGGCTGAAAACTACGCTAGTGTATGGATATGCCAAAGAGCTCTGGTAACGCCGTGGTTAAAGCATTCATCTGCCAGACACCCAGGCCTGTGCCTAAGGTCGGGGTCCAACTTGATGGCAAATAACAACAACCTGCCCAGTCTTGGCGACAACGTGCCCGGTGACTCTCCTGTGACTCACAAACCAGTCATTTCCCTACAGCCGGAAGCTGGAAGGCTGGGCGGGCGGGGGCTGGGATTCACAGGCCGTCTCACTTCCCCCGCTGCTGCGGGAAGGGTGTCTGGGAACCACCCTCTTCCTCTTTTGCTCTCTTCTTGTGGGTACCTCAGCCGGCGCTTTGAGGCTGTGGGGTGTTGCCGCTCCACTGAGGGCTGGGGCTCGCGTGGAGCCAAGCTGGTCTGCACTGGTATGGGAACCCTTGGGGCAGAGGGAGGCAGAACTGCTCCCCACCCCACACCCCGGCCGGGGGAGGGGGCTGAAGCAGGGAGGAAACCGCAGGGCTGGGATTTGGGCAGAACCCTGGAGGACTCCTGTCTCTGTTTCTTGTCCTGAGACCTGGAGGTGGGCTGGGGGAAGCAGGGCCTAGAGCCTCAACCTGCCAGTACCAGGGAAACACTATAGGGGCGCTTGGCCACGCCCAGAATGGGCACGGGCAGGGCACTCAGGCTGAGCGTGAGTGGCAGGACAGGTGGTACACAAGCCACAGTGAGAGAGGACAACGCGAGGAGGTGAGGGTATGGTGCCTGCGCAGAGTGTGAGGGGGGCAGGGGGCAGGGTGGGAGGCGAGGGACCAAGATCAAGCAAGAGTCGCACTGAGAAGGAGGCGGGTAGCAGCTTGTGGCAACAGGCCCTCAGCCCAGCAATTCCACTGCAGGGGTTTCTTTAGAGAGAAAATCTCCTGGGGGGTGGGAGGGGTGGGGTAGGAATGGCGGGGTGGAGGTGGGGTGGAAGGGGCCACATGGAGAAGGGCAGGCGCCTTGTGGTGGGTCGCAGGGAGACGCCGCTTCCTCTGTGCTATCACTTGGCCTCCCGGGACCAGGAGGAGCCCTGCTGGAGCCGGCAGCCATGCCTCACCCCGCGGCACTCCTGCTCATCGTGCTGGCCACTGGGGCTGAGGCCTTCCGGGTCTGTGCCTTCAACGCCCAGCGACTGACCCTGGCCAAGGTCGCCAGGGAGCACGTAATGGACACCCTGGTGCGGGTAAGTTCCCCGCTGAGGCCTCCAGTCCAGGCCCAGAGAAGAGGGGATGTTGGGATGAAGAGTGGAGCCCATTACATCGCCCTCCTCGGGCTCAGTCCCCCCCTCGGCAGAGCGCAGGTGCGATGATGCAGCCTCCTCCCGGGTCCCCTCCAGCCCTGCTGCTCGCGGTTGGCCATGTTGGCGCCAGCTCCCTAGGCCACTGCCCCACGGCTGGGGTGGCTGGTGATGGGCGCAGCATGGCCGCCTGCTGTCCTGCAGATCCTGGCACGCTGTGACATCATGGTGCTGCAGGAGGTGATGGATGCTTCCGGGAGCGCCATCCCCCTCCTGCTGCGAGAACTGAACAGGTAAGGGGGCCCAGGGGACTCAGTCCGGGCCCCACCTGGAGCCTGCAAGGGCCCTGACCCTGGGTTCCACCCTTCCGTCAGGTACGACGACTCTGGGCCCTACAGCTCCTTGAGCAGCCCCTTGCTGGGACGCAGCACATACATGGAGAAGTACGTGTACATCTACCGGTAAGCACGGGGCTGGCCAGGGCTCTCCCCGCTTCCCCAGCCAGCCTGGGTGCCCCCTGTCCCCACTGGGGCCCTTGCCTCTCTGCACACAGGTGTGGGGGCCCCCACTTGCTCTCTCCTTTGGAAGTCCTCGTGGCTCAGAGTGTGGCTGGCCTCCTCAGTGTGAGGCCGAACTTGAATTCTGGAGAGAGGGTCGTGGGCTGCTCCCTGAGTGCTTGCCACTGTCTGCACGTGGAAACCATCCCTTGATGTTCACAGGTCACACAGGACACAGGTCCTAGAGTCCTATGTGTACGACGACCAGGATGACCTCTTTGTGCGCGAGCCCTTTGTGGCCCGGTTCACTCTGCCAAGCAAGGGTAGGAGGCCAGTGGCCTGGAGCGTGTGAAGGGAGGGGAGTCTGCCTGCTTGCATGGGGGCCTGTCCTGGTTCCCTGGGGCCACTCTGACAGGAATATACCGCCAATGGGACGGCCTTAACAAACAGGAGTTTATTCTCTGACAGTTTGGAGGCTTTAAGTCCGAGTTCAAAGTGCCAGGCTCTCGGGGCTGGGTGAAAGCCCCTCAGCCTTGGGCTTCAGCTCTGCCTCCTGCTCCCAGCCCACTGGAGCGAGAGGCATCTCTTCACTCAGGCAGCTGCTGGCTGCTGAGGCTGAGAAGCCCAAGGTTGACAAGGAAAAAGGCACAGTTCCAATGTTACCAAACCACACGGCAGGCCAGTACTTTAAGTCTATTCCGACTCGACAGCACATGACAACAACAACAACATTGTAAGTCCCCAGGGCGACTGCATGGCAGAGCATGGCAGGCTGCTGAACAACCACACAGTTACACGCAGGGTCCAAGTATGCCACACAATAGCTCCTATCCCCAGGGCTTCTCCTTATACACAGGAGCAGACCACATCCCAAAGGCAGCCACTCAGCTGCTTGTGGTAGATCCCACCATGGAGCTGATTGCCAATCTCATCCTGGGGAGTAACTACCACCAGCTGCCCAGCCGGGCCCAGCCGGGCCCAGCCGAGCTGACACACAAACTGAACGACCACAGGGTGGCTCTCCAGAGGGGGGTGTGGGGCTGGAGGGCAGGGAGTGCTCGGAGGCCTCCCTCACAGGTGGGGGTCGGGGCCCTTCCAGTCCTGCCCAGCCTCACCCTGGTCCCGCTGCACACCACCCCGAAGGCCGTGGAGAAGGAGCTGAACGCACTGTATGACGTCTTTCTGGATGTCTGCGAGCACTGGCAGAGTGAGGTAGGGCTGGGCTGCTCGCTGAGCCTCGCGAGGACCGGGGTGGCCGGCGGCCAGGCCTGACCTGGGTCCTGTCTCAGGACGTGATCCTTCTCGGGGACTTCAATGCTGACTGCACCTCGATTACCAAGAAGCGGCTGGGCGAGCTGCAGCTGAGGACGCAGGCTGGCTTCCACTGGGCAGTTGGCGACGGCGAGGACACTACCGTGCGGGCCAGCACCCGCTGCGCCTATGACCGCATCGTGCTGCACGGGGAGCACTGCCGAGGCCTGCTTCACAGCGCCGCTGCCTTCAACTTCTCCCAGCACTTCCAGCTCACCGAGGAGCAGGTGGGCCACGGGGCTCGGGGTGAAGGCAGGGGTGGGTCCCGGCGGGGCCTGGGCCCGGGCTCCTGACACTGTCTCCCCACACACCCAGGCCCTGGATATCAGCGACCACTACCCTGTGGAGGTGGAGCTGAGCCAGGCAGTGCCCGGGGCCCAGCCCCTCCGCCCGCTGACTCTGCTGCTGCCTTCGTTGCTGCTGCCACTCCTGCCCCCTCAGCTGGGCCCTGTGGCCTGACCCCGCCCCGGCCAGCCACCCTGTGGCCACAGCGCCTGCCCACAGGACCGCAGCCTGGCCTGGCTCCGCGGGGCGGCAGCCTGGGTGCCATCGGCCTTCTCTGGTTTGCTTTGTGCCTGGAGTTCCAATGTGGCCAGAGGAAGCCAGAGGCCTGCCAGGAAACCCTAACCAGGCGGTGTCAGGAGGGGACAAGGCAGGCACTGGGGGACTGGGCAGGGGAAGGGAGCTGAGAAGGATCTTGATCAGTCTCCCGCAGGACACAGAACAGGGCGTTACATGAGGTCACTAGATCGGATTCTCAGGAAAGGGACAACAACAGGTGGGGGGACATTCACCGATGTGGCCTAAAAGCCCAGTGCATGCAAAGGTGGACACACGCGGTTTACACCACGCAATGGAACTAATGACCAAACTGGCACGTTGGAACTCTCTGTGGCCCACGAAGTGACAAGAGCCGAGAGCTGCGGCCAAGCCCGAGCCTGCAGTGGGGCTGCAGCACAGCATACGGCTGGGGACTCCTGCCGCCTTCACAGCGTTCTGCCTGCCTGTGCATACCTCCCCTGTGGGTGCGTAGTTGCCCGGAAGGACAGCAAGCCCGGGGACAGCCATGTTCAGTAAAAACTACCGGGTCGCTATTGGGTCGTCTGTGATGAGCTGTATGGTGGCGTGTAACCAGCTCCCAGGTCAAAAATAAAGGTTAGTTCAACTTTAGAACAGCTGTGAGCCTGACTAGACAAAGCCATCAGCCTCAAGGGCCACAGGCTGGGGTGGTCAGGTGCTCTTTGGCCTCTAAGCAGCTGTGGAAAGGGTGGCTGTTCTTGGGGGCATCCTGGTGAAGATGGGGTACCAGAGCAGCCAACTGACTGAAAGCTCTCAGAGGAGCTGGGGCTCACCATCACCTTTGGAAACAGATCCCTTCAGGACCGTCCCAGGGCAGGGCCTCAGGCCCCACTCCTGGCCTTTTCTTATCTCCAGAGCCTAAGACTGCTTTCGTAGACTTGTTCGTGTGGAACTGGGGTGCTAGGGAAGTCACCAGAGCACCAGGAACCCGAGGCCGAAGCAAGCATATACCACTCCGCAGCCAAGTGTCATGGACCATGGCTGAGCACTCTGGTTAACAAGCCCACCCAAGGCAGGGTCTGCAAGGGCCAGTGGGCAGGGCTGTTTTCCTGCAATGTTGCACGGGAACACTTGATACCCTCCAGTTCAGACAGAAAGCCCCAGAGCCCATGAACACCCTGCACCTCACGGTGGGCCACCTGGAAGCACCAGTTCTGGTCAACGTTGTAGGACACACAACCCGGGGCCTTGGTGGATTTGGTTCCGAGCTTTCCCCTCACCTGGACCTGCTCATTGCAGCATTAGCCTGAAGGGCCTTGGTCCTCAGAATCTCGGCAGCCCCACCCACCCCAGGTCCCGGAAAGCAAGCAGAGAACAAGAACAGAGAGGAAGTTCCATTTATTGGCAGACACAGGTCACTCAGGACAGAGCTCCCTAGCCCTTCATGAATGCAGGGCCCGCCACTTGTCCAAGGGGCCACGATTGGGGATATACTTGACTCCACAACCATCTGGGATGAGGCGCTTCTCAGCCACCATGTCTTCAAACTCATCAGCATTAAACTTGGTGAAGCCCCACTTCTTAGAGATGTGGATCTAGACACAAGCAGCACTTAGTCAGAGGTGGGTCCACGGGCACAGGCAGGGAATTGTCGGGGGGGGGGGCAGTGCTGCTTACCTTCTGACGCCCAGGGAACTTGAACTTGGCCCTGCGCAGGGCCTCAATCACATGCTCCTTGTTTTGAAGCTTGGTACGGATGGACATGATGACTTGGCCAATGTGGACCCTGGCCACCGTACCCTGGGGTTTTCCAAAGGCACCTCGCATACCTGTCTGGAGCCTAAGTTAGGGGCACCAGAGATTAGTGAGACCAGAGGCATGAGAGAAGAAAATGGCTGTCTCCAAGGTCCCTTAGAGCAACCCGTATGTGCCAACGGGCTGCGTACACTACCAAGGCTGCTGCTGTTTGCGGCCATTGCACACCGGCCCCCACAGGCAAGGAGAACGGTCGGCTTAATTGGCTGCAGAGCACAAGTACTCCAAAGCAAATGGGGAGGAGTTCCTGGGAGCCACCAGACTGCACCTGGAGCTGCAACCGTCTCAGCTAACAGGCGGTTGTCATGAGTCCTCGATCCGGAGAAACTACTTTCTCAGCCACGCTGCCCTCCACGCGTCTCTGCCAGTGTCTAAGACTGTCATGCCTTGGCCCGAGGAGGAGGCGGTTCTGAGAGACAGGCCACTCCAGCCCTCATCCTAGCTCTGTCACCAGGCAGCTCTGGGTTATTTGGTGCATGAGGGGTACCTCCACAGCCTGTCCCTAGGCCCATCATACAAGGCCCTCACGCACAGAAAGCCCCAGCACGGACCCAGAACAGCAGCTGCAGCAGCCCGCTCACCTGTCAGCTCCAGCACAGGACAACATCTTGTTGATGCGGATGACGTGGAAGGGATGGAGCCGCACTCGAATGTGGAAGCCATCTTTGCCACAACTTTTCACCATGTACTTATTGGCACAAATACGGGCAGCCTCCAGAGCTGGATAGAAGACAGAGGCAAGATCGCAAAGAAGCACTCTCCAGGGAGAAGCCAGGGTGAGGGCCACGGGTTCCAGGGAGTCAGGGTCCATTCAGGCTTCACTGGCCTGGTCAGGAGGAGCGGGGAAGCCTGCCTCACCTTCTGAGGAGAGCTGCTCGTACTCATCGGAGACCATGTGGCCACAGAGTGGAAACTCGTCCACTTTCGCCTTCTTCCGTCCCAGGTCAAAGATGCGGATCTTGGCATCTGGAAAAGGCCGGGAGGCATGGGGAGTGCCATGGGCAGCTCAGCTGGCACGGCCAAAACAGTTTAGGAGCTCTCTCACTACTTACCAGGGACCCCTCGGCAGAAGCGGGACTTGGGGTAGGGCTTGTTCTTACAATACCGGTAACTGCAAGGGGAGAAACTCCGGTTTGACGCTGCTCCTGAGAGCCTGATCCCAGAGGGGCTGAGCTCAAAAGGGAGTACAGGGGATATGGCCTCGATGCAGGGGCACCCCGAAAAACAAAAGCAACAAAGCTTTCTACCGCTAATGGCCTCACAACTTCCCACAAAACATCTTTCCTCCCTTTGATGTACTGAGTACTTCAAATTAGCCCGACACTGGTGGCCCAGTTCAGGCCATCCACCAAAACCCATTTGGGCACATGGCAGCCATTCGGAACCGGGACCACAAGAAGTGGCCGTCGCGCCCCCTGCAGGGCCCACGAGGCAGCTGCGCGGGATTATCCGGAGCTGTCCTTGGCATTCATCCGAGGATACCGGACGGCACGATGCCCGTAAAGTAAGAGAGTGCACACAAAGGTTCAAAGACGGATCGAGCCCCAAAAGACCCACGGATGTGAAGGACACAGAGCAAAAAGCAAGCCGGCCCTGAAGAGTGCGGCACACGCAGCCGATGGACCGTCCACCCGGCCCCCAACAACTAAACGGGGGAAGCACTTAGGAGCAGCCAGAAGTTCTAAGGTGAAAGGAGCGTTTAGTACAACCGAAAACCAAAGACTTGAGAGACATTTGGAAAATGTGGGGTTTGCTCCAGGGCAGGTCAGAGGCGGTAGGTAGCTGGTCTCCGCCCAAAAGGGGTTTTTCGGAAACCAATTGCAGTGCCCTCTACCCAGCTAGAGAAACTGCGCGGAGTTGGCACTCACCATCGCGCGGGGCGGCGACCCATGGTGACACCAGAATCTTTGCGACTGCAACGAAAGAGACAAAGTCGGAGGAGAACACTAAGACAGGCCTCAAATCAGGGAGACGGAAGGCAAGGACGCATCATGGACCAGATCATAAACGTACTCACCACCCTGAAGGAAAAAGAGAGGCTCCCACCCCTGCGCACGCCTTATATAGTCGGGCCTCTCTTCCCGTGGGGGAAACCATAGAGTCCCGACAAGGGCGTGAGGGCGCTCTTTCACGACGTCGCGACCATAGACGCAGTGGTGCTCTGCGCCTGTGTATGCCACTCGGCACATGCGCAAAGCGCGGACGTGGCTGGGTTCGGAGGCCAGCGGGCGATCAGCCGACGAATCCGGCTTCGCCACATGGGCACGGAAAACTTGTTTCCTGCAGGCCCTCTTGGTGGTAGAACTCTAGACCTAGGATGAGCATTAACCGTGAAAGACCAATGTTCGTAGAGTTCACAGAAAGAACATTTTTTGGGGTGGGTTTATGGCGGCCGCAGGCCGATTTTCCAGCGGACACGGGCCTAGAACCCACCAGGCTCTCGGCGCTTCTGGGGCGGGGACACGCCATGCTCTCGCCTCCGCCCACCTTTCTTTGTCTACCGGGAAGCCGGAGGCCCGCCCCCCGCCGAGCCCAGAGTCCGATCAGGCCTTGCCTTGGGCCTTGCGTCACGTTCCCGTTCCCAGCTAGGGGCCGCGCCAAACACAGGACAAAGACCTGAAGTGCTCGCCCAACACGCCGGGGCCGAGAAGTCCGTGGCCACAGTCAGCCCGCCCTCTCCGCTAATGGCCATCTGGCCTCTTACTGGGCCCGGGGAGAGAAACCTGGCACCGCCGCCTCCGAGAGATTGGGACAGCGGGGAGCTGGGACGGGCGACCCCAGGCGGACGGCAGTTGAGCTGGCAGCCGCGTGCGTCACGCCCGGCTGGGGGCCGCTCTGTTGCGACGCCTGCCGGCGAGCTCCAAGCCTGCAGGCCCGGGGTGGCGCCCGCCTCGGTAGGCAGCGTTAGGGCTCCGGGGCGCGTCACGGGCAGGGGCGGCGGCGAAGCGTGGGTCTGTGCCCCGACACGGCGCGCGCGCCCGCCCGGCACCCAAGCCCGGTATCCCGGGAGACGCGGATGGAGCTGGTGACGCAGTCCCGGTGACCGAGGTGTCTGTCCGCACTTGCGGGAGGGGGGCGGCAGTGAGCTAAGGCTCTTCCCTGGTCGTCCGGCAAGGGAGGGACCCCCTGCCCCGGAGGACCGCCGCGAGATCGGGCCTGACATCCCCCTGGGGGAGCTCAGGGGACCCTCACCGACAGCCTGGCGCTGCTGCAGCACTGGGGCGAAGGGGTGCAGCGGCTGTCGCACCGGAGACGCTCTGACCCGGCGGGTCCCTGGGACTCGGCCACTGTGAGGAGCTGCGGGCGGCGCGGCCGCTGGGCCAGGCCGCCCACCCCGATCCCGACCCCCAGCCCACCCCCACTACGCGGGGACGCTCTGCTCCACGGGGTGCCCCTGGCCCAGCCGCGGCGGCTGCGCTTGAGGCTTTCCCCCCACCAACAACCCCGGCTGGCTGCCGTCGAGGGGACTCATAGCGACCCGTCTTGGGTTTCCGAGGCAGGAGATCTTTCCGGCAGTTGGTTGCCCCGTCTTCCTCCCGCGGAGCGAGCGGCTGGTGGGTTTGAACCGCCCACCTTCTGGTTGGCAGTCAAATGCATTAGGCAATGCGCTCACCCGAGCTTTCCCGGGGTGGGGGGAAGACAAGGGGCCTTCCAGGGAGTCACCGCTCCCCTGACAGGGGGCGCTCGTGCCCGGGTGCCATCTGCGGGCCCGGCGGGATGGGGTGTCGGAAAGGCAATCCCCGGACGGACCGCCTGCCTGCCTGCCTGAAGGGGAGAAGCAGAGAGGGCACTTGGCCGGGGAACGGGGTGGGAGTCTGTGGGCTGGCCAAGAGGAAGGGATCCGGGACCCGGGCTCGAGGACGCGGAGGAGCGTGGCCCGTGGAGACGGGCAGGGGCATTGGGGCTGGGCATGGAGCCCGCAGGGGCTTCTGCCCGCGGTCGTGCCGGGCCGTGCGTGGGGCCGTCCCCCAAGCCGGCGGGAAGCCGCCCCTGCCCGCCACGCTCCCCGGGCAGCCCGGCCTGCACAGACTCGCTCCACTGCTCGGCTGGCTGTCGGCGGTGCTGCGCTCAGCCTGCAGAAGCGCCTGTCGTCCCACTGGAGCGCCAGGTGAGGCTGAAATGCCAGTCGCCAGCCCCCATCGGTGCCCGGAACCAGCAGCTTGTGGGGACCCCGCATCTTGTTGCTCTGGGGAGAGATTGTCTCCGAAGGAGCCGCGACTTTCTGCGTGGGAGCTGTTTACTTGCCTGTACCCCCTGCCCTCCTGGCCTCCTCCATTGCTTGCCCGCCCTTTCCTTGTGGATTTCTGACGGCTCTTTACATGTTGATGCTGGAAGCTCTTGGTCACTTCCGGCAGCTCTTTTCTCCCCATGTTGTCATTCTTGTTAGATGCAATATTTTACTTGCTTTCTCTGTTAATGATCACTCACCCAGGACAAACGCTATTCACGAAATTTAGGAGAGGTGGCTCCTAAATTGAATCGGCTAGTTGCATGACCAGGAAGAGGCGGGACTTCCCATGGCAGGGAAAAGGAACACAGAGGCAGGTTGTAGCACTGAATCAGGCTCAGATCCACTCCAATTAGAGCCACAACCGCTAGCTTCAGGGCCTACCCAAAAAGGGAAAATGATGTCGGAACAACAGGCAGTACCGTACAACCGCTGGTCACCAGAAAGGTAGTCCAGGAAGGAACTGTGCAAAGCCGAGAAACTACTGAAAGCAGAGGGTGTACATAGGAATCTCCTGGGAAGGTTCTCCTCTTGCTCCGGTTCTGCTTTTTTATTATTACTTTTTTTTTTTACTGTGATTTGGGTGAAGGTTTACAGAGCAAATTCACTTTCCATACAGCAGTTCACATACACTTTGTCTCATGACATTGACCACAGTTTACCACAATGCAAC